CTGATCGTTATGAGCAGGACGATGAAGTACTCGGGGATGATGATTTTGAAGATGAGGAGGAAGAGGGGGACAACTGCGATAGTTACTATAGTGATGCTGCTGAAGATGGAGACGAAAATTCCCTTGAAGTTGAGACGCCTGCAGCAGTCAGTGACGACTCAAATGTGGGTCTTGTCTATCGAGAGTCAGGCGATGGTCAAGAGGCTTGCGACCACATGCCACCACGTGCGACTGTTATCGTCGCCAAGAGAGAGGCAACAGGAATTCCGGACGAAGACGAAGAGGAGGCTGACGAGCTAGGCCGAAAACTAGATGCTGATGAGGACGTGAAGAATCCTGCCTATGTTCCACGTACTGGCAGATATTACATGCATGACCAGCGTTTTGATGCTGAAGATGATGAGAACGGTGATGGGGAGGGAGAAATAAAAGAAGATGGCGACACTGCTCAAGAAGATACTTCAAGCAAGCAGAATAAAAGAAGGGAGCGGCGCACTGGGCCTGCAGCTGAGCGATGGTCACATGATCTGTTCAACGAACGCGCGCAGGCTCCAAGATCACTTCAAGAACTGATTCGTCGCTATGGGAAAAACATCCTGCCACCGGAATTGTTGACTTCTCCTTCGGGACCTAACCGTGAAAGTTCTAGTGTTACCAGACGATCGACAAGAGCTCATGTTGTTCGAGGGGGCCGGCGTGGACATACCTCATTGTTCCCACACGATTCAAAAATGCGACGGCTGAACACTGGAAATTTATCTAAACGTGGCGAAGAAATGCAGAGAAAGGTAGATATAGAAGAAACTGAACAAAATGATACGGTCCCATGCATTGATAATACTAATGCTGAGGATGTTCGTGTTTCTTCACCTTCTCCTAATGTGGATTCGTGTTCATTAAATCCTATTATTGCAGATTCTGTCACTTCCTGTGAAGATAGCAGTTCTCTTGTCCCTACCGCTGACTCCTCTATTCCTCAGATTTCTCCATCCATCTCTAAGGTTGCCTTGAAATCAGAAAATCAGGTTGGGTCATGTCTGGCTAAGCATCGAACTTCCAGGCGACGACCAATTGATGAGAAGATCCTTCCTCCATCTCGGCACAGTGGCTTCTATACTCGGCAGCGTTTCTCGGGCCGGCCTAGGGCCGTGTTGGATTCAGACTCACAGCAAAGACAATCTCGCCCGTGTATTGTGGATGCTAGACAAATCCTTTCTGTAAGAATTTTCGCTTATTTTACTCCCCTTCTATCACATTATCTATGCTTTTCAAGAAAGATCCTTCATTTGCTTAAAAAAACAATAAATAGCTAGCCAGCATTATTTTTTATATTTTTTGGACTAGAATTCATTCCATTCCAAGTCGCCACATAGACTTAAGAATGTCTTGGTCTGGCTATTTCTCGGGTTTTTTCTGGCGTATCAAAACTACTTCGATATTATATGCTTTCTCACTTCTTAAGAGAATCTTAGTTTCTCATTTGTCATTAATTTGTCTATTTTCAAGCCACTAACTATGCTGATTGCCCTTTATATTCATTAACTGTTTACAGACGAAGTGATTCACGAGTCACAGATTTTATCGACTATTATAAGCTTTTTATAATGTGGCCCAAGGGCACTCGTGGTAATGTAGCTGAGTGGTTAACGTTTCAAGCTCGCATGTTGCACTGTCACGGTTCGACTCCCGTTGGGGGTGTTGATAAGACTTAGCTGAGGTCTAAACTGCAGTCCATCCTGGATAAGAACAACTTTTCGGAAAACAAGGCTATGTGAAATTCAATGAAAGCGTCAGCTCTACTCATATAATTGTGGGAATATTCTGCTACCAGTCCTTCATCACCTTAAACGGAATAGGGTGAATCCATCTCATATAACTGATTTACTAATAGTCTCTAAACTCTGCTTATATACATATATATTATTCATTGAACTACACATGCAATGTACTACAAATATTCAAGGGGAAGACTTGAGTTCTAGGAGATATTTATTTACTCACTTGGGAGGAGAATAAAGCTGGTCTAACACATTTTACCCGGTATATAAAATATGTCTAGCATTTGGTGTTCAGAATAGATGCCTTTATCTTTGCCAAAATGCCGAAACTGCTTAATATTGCTTAGTATCGAAGTTTTATTTTTTGGAAATTTATAGTTAAAGGTTTTGTCGCATTCACTGTACACATTTTTCTTAATAAATTTTCTTATTTTTCGTATTTGAGTAGAGTTTCGAAACTACCAGTAAATCAGTAATATGCGATGTATTCACCCAATTTCGTTTAAAGTGATATAGGACTGGCAGTAGAATTTTCCCACAATGATATGAGTAGAGCTGAAGTTTCCATTGAATTTCACATAGCCTTGCTTTTTCAAAAGTTGTTCTCATCCAGGGTGAACTTCAGTTTAGCCCTCGCATCAGTCTTATCAACACCCCCAGCGGGAGTCGAACTGTGATAATGCAGAATGGGAGCTTGACACGTTAACCACTCCACCACATTGCCACGAGTGCCGTTGGGTCACAGGGCCGATGTGCATATCAAGGAAGATCAGGCCTTTTGTCATATCATATTCTTTGGTGGGATTGTCGATGAAGCAAACTTTTATTTTTCATAACAACCGACTACATTACTTATTTTTCGTATTTGAGTAGATTTTCGAGACTACCAGTAAATCAATAACATGAGATGTATGGTAGTCTTGAAACTCTACTCAAATACGAAAAATAAGTAAAGTAGTCGATTGTTATAACAAATATACGTTTGCCTCACCGACAATCCCATTAAAGAATATAATATGGCAGAAGGCCTGGCCTTCCTTGAAATTCATATCTGCCCTGTGACACAAGGGCACTCGTGGCAATGTGGTCGAGTAGTTAACGTGCAAAGTTCCCATTCTGCACTTCCACGGTTCGACTCCCGCTGGGGGTGTTGATAAGACCGATGTGAGGGCTAAACTGCAGTTCACCCTGGATGAGAACAACTTTTGGGAAAGCAAGGCTATGTGAAATTCAATGGAAACGTCAGCTTTATTCATCATTGTGGGAAAATTCTACTACCAGTCCTTCATCACCTTAAACGAAATAGGGTGAATACATCTCATATTAAATGTTCTTAGTCAGAGTAGACTGTCTCTCAGTCTCCACTTATACCCAGGCATCTACACTACGATCACTAGTTCACATACTTTACGTTTGTTAGACCTAGTTGGGTCTGATTAGCACATGGATTTAGAGACATGCTTGTATATGATAGACTACCATTTTATTAAATTTTCAAAATATAGCTATATTTGATTTGTATAACACGTTT